ACGATAATTTTCTTTGGACAGAAAGTATAATGCAACGCCCCTTGAACAACTTTGCACACTTAAATTCCTCAGGATCATTGACGGTACTAATACAACAACAATAACCCTTATCCCACTAGGTAAGGTCGGCTACAAAAATCGCACGACGCTAATGTGGTCTATCAACAACCAAGTTTTTAAGTATGTTGTTGACTAGGAGGTCCCGTTTAATGATCTCGTTGAGCGTTCTTCTCGGCTTTCCTCTGCCTTTTTTTATAGGATTCCAAACTGTTTGATTTACCCGTCTCATCAGGGCCTCTAATGGCCTTCTCTGCACGTGCCCTAACCACTTCATGTGATGTTCAACCATTTACTCTTCGATAGGCGGCACACCTACTCTTGCTCGGATAATTTCATTTCGAACCTTATCTTTTCTTGTATGACTACACATCCACCTCAACATCCTCATTTCTACTGCCTTAACTTTATGCTCTTGTTTTCCCTTTGACGCCCAACATTCACTACCATATAACATAGCTAGTCTTATAGCAGTCTGATAAAATTTTCCCTTAAGCTTCTCAGGTACCTTTTTATCACAAATAACTCCGGTAGCCTTCCTCCACTTTAACCAACCAACTTGTATTCTATGCGAAATATCGCCATCAATTTCACCACCCTCATGTATGACGGTACTATCATACAACAACAAATCCTATCCCACTAACACTAAATGGGATTAACCATATGATTTTCTCGACATTATTGTGCTGCTCTATTAACAACCAATTCTTAAAACATATCAATTACTCAAAGATCACTTTTGATAACTTCCTGTGGTGTCACTCTTGGTTTACCCCTAACTTTCTATATAGGTCAAAATTACTTTAATAGCACCCTGTCCATGCCTAATTCTGAACCTCCTAAAAAGTAAGCAGAATCAGTCATTGCTCTTACAGCATTACACTTTAAATTTTTGTCTACAGAGTTACCTTTATATCTGCTAATGAGGTTAAGGTAAGTTCCATACATTCTTTCACTGTGAACATTAGGGAGCCATTCACAGGATTTTGAACTACGAAAATTACTCAAGGCAATCCATAAGCGAAACTGCTTGACAATCTAACTCTTCATACACAGCAGCAGATGCATAAATGAAAGAAATAGCAGCTTCAAGTTTCATTGCGTTATGATCCAGACAGGGTATATAAGTAAGACCGATTAATACAAGTTAGTAAACTTAGATCCCCATGCCTCCAGCATAATCAGATATAGAACAATGAGTTCAGTTCTAAGAAGTTATGCAAAAAGAACATCAAACCTTTAATGGGTAGCCCAAGCAAACTACAGCAGAGACATTAATTTCTTTCATACCAGCGACCATGCAGCTAACTCTACAAGAAAATAGCATAGACATAAGATACCTCCGGGCAATATATCTTATCTTGGTGACATAGGTCCAAGGAGCAAAATAATGATGCAAAATACCTAGAACCCATTGATTTTCCCGCCAGGATCAGGGGATGACCAGGAAACTTAGCAGCAGTTTTCTTTACAATTTCAGAGTGAAATTCAACCAGTTTTTCTGCCTTCGGAGGAGCCCTCTTTTTACCACCAGAAATGTCTAGCAAATCCATTAATTCACATGAGGCATATATTTGTCAATTTCATTAGTGGTGGTCACACACTAGGTAACCGCAATCACAAGTACGAGGGAATGAAATAAAAATGACAAACGCATAAAGATCCTGCAGTGGACATATCCAATTTTGATAATTGAAAGAGACAGACAACAATCAATGTTACAATAATGGAATACAAGAAATTTAGCTCCAAAGATACTCACAAGGATAGTCAAAGGTGACCACTTCAGCAGCATGCAGCGCCTCTCTTAACATATCCTTCCATCTGTTACAATTACAAAACAGCGAAATTGTTTTGACAAGAGTCTGTAAGATTTAAGCATATTATGTATGAATAGTTTATCATGACTAGACAAGGATATATCTTAAACTGGTTTTGAGTCCTAACCCCTGAGAACTACGAAATGAGTCTTAACCGCTTTTAAGGCAGACAACGATAAACCTAAAGCGTCAACATGCCGTTTACACTTAGAATAAAGGGGATATGGCGTAAATGACGCAAAAACTACAATCCACAGCTCAATTTGAGGGAACCGGGCTTTCTTATTGAATAGGAGACGAAATAAGCATTAGTAATCAAAAAATAAAAAATAAGGCTCATTGTCTTTTAGGTTGCAAAACACGCGCGCGCCCAGACACAAACTCGAGTTTTTTCTCCTGTCGTCCATCGATTTCGTCATTTTGAGTACATGTTGGGCATTCAACGGCATTTGGAAAAGCAATTAAAAGCTGGGAGCAGAGAGAAATGAAAATGGCCGAATGCTTCTTTCTTCCTTTCATTGGGTGGGGGGAGAAAATGAAAAACCTTATCATCCAAGGAGAAGAGGAAGGAGCTCCAGCACCATGAGCGAAGACCACCACCGGTGACAACTTTTCAGGATTCGATGCTAATGGTGACGTGTCAATCTCGCCGTCGCTGCTCTGTCGCTGGCGCTTCGCCTGAGGTGAACCCATGCCTTGGGAGAAACCAAGTTCCTAGAATCAACCTCCCGTTCGAACCCTAAGCAACTCGCGCTGCTTTTCGCGCCAAAGGTTCGGAGCGGGAATGTCCTTATACCCCTTCTCAATTGACGTTTGACAATTCCACAGCGGTTCAGTCATTTATTAATGGGAGAATTACATTCAAGTCCCACATAAGAGAAATAATCACTACAAAGTCCCAAATAACAACCTGAGCAGCCTGTAATAACAAGTCCTACAGTGAGAATAACAACCTCTGGGACTTGTTTTTTAATTACTTGGGACCTCATTGTAATTCTCCCTTTATTAATTAATTAATCTAAGAATTTAAAAAAAAAAATCGAAAAACAATGTTTGGATATTTTTTAAAACATTCAATTGTTTGGGGCCTGAAGCATTCACATTCCATTGCCTTGTATTCGAACAAAAAGCTCGCTTGTTAATGGGTCAATTTGAATTTCTGGGCCATCCATGGGAAAGATGCCCACTATCATAGTACGTTCCACCCAATACCCACATGACATCCCTCTTCAAGCAGGCATTCGACCGTTACGAGAATAAAAATACTATGCAAAATAGGGGTCTCAGGTCAATAAATATTAAATAAATAAATGAGATGGTGGGTCTCTTTCCACTGTGAGGGCTAAAATAGGATTTTACTGTGATATTTGTATAATATATTACAACCTCCTTAATTAGCATGCCATTCAGGAAATTGACGTCTCGTCAACTGTAAAATTCTTCTAATTCATGTCTTCAGCCACTAATAAATTGCAGCGCACTGTTATTTTTCAATATCAAAAAAGGCACACGTGCTCATTGCGCACCAAGGAATTAATCAGCGAATTAGGGTCGTTGCATGCAAACGCAATATCGGAAAGCGAAGCAATTAAAACAGGATACGAAAGGAATGTCAAATAGGAAGTAGATGTGTGTGTGTGTGCGTGTGTGTGTGTGTGTGTGTGATAATATGCTAATTAAAGCGCTGACCCTGTGATTCATGAAGAGTTGAAGATAAGGTTGAGAGATGCCTTCATTGTCTCTGAAGCCTGCCGCTAAGTGGCATCCATCCAGCAAGACAAATATATGAATTAAATTTCAAAGACTTCAATCAACATATACGTATCTGGTTTAGATTCGTGCCAACCAAGTGAAGCAATATTAGACAACGGTATCAATGCTGTCTATGGGATGGAATTATATATGAGGATCAAATAAAAACAAATCGGAGGAGGAAACAAGGGGGTGGGATTTGGCAAGTGATAATGCGATATGAATATTGTAGACCCCACACAAAGTGAAGACAGATTCTGGTTTGGTTGCAGTATAAAAATGGGGTGAGCAGCTTAATAATCCCTTTCATCAAAGAATCAGTGAAGGGATTGGTTGTTTACTCTCTCTCTCAAGGGCTTCCTGCGGCCATGACCCCCCAAATATTCTTATCAGCACAGCATCAGACAAGAAGCCCTTAAGAGATTGAGTAGACAAGCCTCCTCTTTTCTTCATTGGAAGGCCTGATATATATATAAGCCTGTTTCTGATGAACTGGTACCATTTCATTGCGCACTCCCCCTCAGGGACTTCAGATTTTGCTCATTAGTCTGGAGTTCCTTAGGGGGAGTGAATAATGCTTGATACCCTCTCTCCATCTCACCCCACCTTCGTTAACTAACTAATAATTCATTCATTTGCCAAATCCTTTAAACTGCTTATGAGTCGTGCGTGTCGTCTCATCATATATGGTCCAACTAATGCGTCTGTGTCACTGCAGGTGCGTGTATTTTTCCCAGTTTCGTCCAAGTGAAGCGGGTAGCCCCATGTGCCTCTATTTGGAAAAGCCCTAGAAAAGCCTTCAACGATGATCATAGACCTATTTAGAACAGCTTATAAACGGTTTATAAGTAGTTATTTAATAATGATTTATAGAATACGAGGTAAGTATATGAGAGGAGTTTTGTCTCGACTCATATGAAACGGGCTTATAGAGAATTTTCATCGCTCTGGGGCCCATATATACAAATCTTGAGAGTGGGCAGCACAAGGATTTGAACGAAGGACCACCTTGTGAGGCCTGCCATGTGAACGACGGGACCCCCTATAGACTGCTGTACAGGCTTTCTCCTCAACTCGAACTCTAACCTTACTGTTCAAACATGGAAACACGTGCGACATATGTAGGCTGTACTCTTTTCTATTACTGGCAATCTTCCTGGTGGCGAGCACTTGGTTATTAACAGTAGTGTTCTTGGTGTTGAAGGAATCATGGTTAAAGCAAAAGGCTGGCCTACTTATATATATTTCCCCTATACATTGTTCATAAACTCTTGCTCAGTCACTTATGGTGCTGCCAACAATATCACCTATCCGTGCATGGCTATGCAGCCTGGTACCGATTCCTTGTTCCTTTATAGACATCGTTCTACAACACAACACTTTCTGAGGGAATCAATTTCCTAATTCCCCTTCACTAATCAGCATCTCTAGTTGCTAGGTAGCAACTGATCAATGCCTGGTTCTTTCGCTTTCATGCTCTCCAATCTCCACTCTCCCTTGTCATATACAGTACAGGGTTCAGAAAAGCATGCACCTAATTGTTAATGCAAAATAGCAATTTTCTTAAGTTAGTTTACAGACAAATCCATCCAGCGGCATGCAGCAAACTAAAGTAATTAAATGACGCTGCATGTTCTCTTTTATTACTCACAAGGACTTTGAGCGACTTCACCATTGTACGACGGCATTCAATATCGAACACGTTTTCTGTTACTTAGTAATATTATGTAGAAATATAACCGATATATGTGAATTTTTTCCTTCGGAACAAAGAACAGGTAAGGTCATATGAAACTTAGCTTTGCATATTGGGAATGACACGCCTGACAGATTCCGATAATTGAAAGAAAAATAAATTAAAAAGAAGAAGATATATATATAAATATTTGCTGAAGTAATGAGGTGCCACAATATTAATGATCACTTCAACAACATTAATTGTCAGCTCCCAGCTGATAATTGAAGGAAAATTCAAACATATCAAACATTCACTCGGTGGCCTGGCCACAAGTTCTTCAGAAATCGTTAAACCAGCGCAGTTAATTTTCTTCTGAAACGCGGATCTTGTCCCCTATACTAAGCCACTTCCTGGTTTTTCTCCACAACCCTCACTCCTTTTGCAGATCTAAGCACTTTCGCCTGTTCCAAAGACAAATTCGAACCCACAGGAGAAAACACATCAGATCACACACGATCTCTTGTGTTTATTCACTAAGAAGCCATATAATATGAATAGGAAAACGTACTTGATCTTCCGTGATTTTGACAGCAAATCCATCAACAATGACCAAAGAAGATATCTTGGTGTAGCTTCCTGGCTCGAGGGTGGTTGCTAACAGTTCATCGTGCTTCTTACTGAGGTAGACATCAAGTTCATGCGCCCCACTCTTGGTTCTAGTTACAACAACACGCAGGCAGAACACAAAATGAGTAGTGTGAAAATGGTGGAAGGGGAAGGTATATGTAAGATAAAGGACAATTAAAACTGACCGATCAGCTCGAAGACGCTCGTATTGGGGATCAAAGTTCATGAACACAAAGTATGACTCCACTTTTTTGCTTCCCATTTGGACTCTGTCTCCTTATCTACTCCTGCTGGTCGGTTTTGTTTATTTCAATGTATTGAGTAGGTGTGAGTATGTCCACTAAGTAGTTTGTAGTATTTAGTATTTATAGACAATGGAGACCGCAGTGAGTCAAAGATGGGGCCTCTTTTCAAATTTGGACATATGGTTCGTTCGTCATTTCCTTTTTTAATTCACGTTTTACTTTTCAAGTTTTTGTCTGACAGTTTACTCATGTAATGTATAAAAAGGTAAATTATATTAATTAATGCCGATTAAAGTAATCACTGATACCTTTTTATCTCAACAATTACGTACATTTGATTTCCATTATAAAAAGTTCCTCTTCAATTAAAGTCAGGGATTTTTTTTTTTTGGCCCACAACATCTATCAGAGCCATAGGTATTTATGATTTTTTTTTTTTACCGGCAACAGGGATTTATGTTTTTATTCTTAATATGGCAATAAATATAATTAACTCTTTGTGACGGATTAATGTATCTAGTGTAGCAGTTGTACCTATTTTACCTTTGAATGTAAATGAGGATAGCTTATGATGGCATTTTTAAAGTGATAGTATAAAAAAAAAAAAAAGAATAGATACCTACGTTTTGTAATATTGTATATTACTCCACTAGTCTTCTTTATTATTTACTTCCAATACAAAAATAAAAAAATCTTAAATGTTATTAACTCTCATTTAAAATTTAACAGTTTTTCAATTTTATATCCCTATTTAATATATATTAAACCCCAGAAACACATAATCAACATAATAATAAATGAAAGTAAAATTATACATTTATATAAAAAATTTCTCTTAGCTTTCTCCCCTATAAGTAGGACTATATGAGTTTGATGATAAACAACAAGCATCATGTGTCACTAGGAGTCCTCTAATTCAATATGCTAGTTGGGTCAAATAGAATAAGCTTGATTTTATTTGCACCAGAGCAAAGGTTCAAATTTAATTTGTGAATGAAAAAAATAATGTAATAGAATTACCTTTAATAGACCTAATAATGGTCAAAATTGACCCCGCTGTATTCGATTTAGATAATTGTATTAAAAAAAAAGTGTTCCTCTAATATAACAGCCTAATATTTTGTTGGGGAAAAACAGTCTAATGTTTGGATAATAGTTTAAGATATCACTCTTTCTACTCTTTCTCTCTATATATATGTGCGTGCGCGCGCGCGCATACAAACACATTATTATGAAACAAAATATATGCAGATCAGCTAAAGCCGGCTCCTTAGAACTCTGATACTGATCGACATGAACATGAATAAATTACATGATTTATGAGTATTATTTTCGGTCTTTAATATAAGATCTTGTTTAACTTTTTGTCTTTCATATTTATGAATTTTTTTTAAAGATATTTCTTCTAAAGACAATAGTTCTA